ACAGTTTTTCTGGGTAAAACGTCACGGGAAAAAAGTCACAATGGAAAAATTTTATCGGAAAAAAGTCACAGAAATAAAGTCACAGAAAAAAAGTCACAAAAATCATTTTAGAAATATTTTGATTTTTTTTGTTAAGAATTGTAAAATGTTGTATGTTTATTGTAGTGGGTTGTATTATTTTATAGCATAAATTATTTATAGACGTTAAAAGCATTATGGTTTATAAAGATTTTAAGTAAAAATACTCTAAGATAATTTACACAACAATTTCAAATTTTCTACCGCGTATTTAACTAAATACGTATCATTGTGTTTTGCATATGTTTTGCCGTAGGCTATTCTCTGGTCGGCCTCCCCTCTGTAGGCATTGTCCGAACATATTTTGTGTTGTTAACGTTTTGTGTCAATGAAAGCCTTTGAACTTTGTCGGCTCTCTGTTTTGATCCAAAGTTTTGTTATGTAATGAGCGTGATAAATGTGGGCAGTAAAGATGGTTAAACTAAGCATAACTATTGTTGCGATGAGTTTAGGGCAGTAAGTCAAATGACCTTACCATTTCACGGTAATTTAATTATTAAAAAAACACGATGAAAACCTTGGACATTAAATTAAATGCAATTCATGCTATTAATATTATGTTTAACATAATTACAATCTACATAATTCATACTAAATAATATTTTTAGATGAATTATAAAAATTACTATGCTTATAGGCCTACACACATTACATTACATTTAATTAATCCTAAGTTAATTTGCGCTCTCTGAATATTTAATACATAAAAGTTTTAACAAAGTCCATGCAAATATATATTTGTGACTTTTTTCCTATGACTTTTTTTCTGTTTTTTTTTTTGTTTTTTTTTCCTGTGACTTTTTTTTCCTAAAATCGGCTGTTCTCGTGTCGGCTTCCCTCGGATTAGAAAAAAATAAGTATGCTTACTAAGACAAGCTCTTTTAGCTCTTTTTACTAGCTTTTATTTAACTCACTTCTTCTCACTTCTGTCGTCAGTCGGTCTGTCTGCATAGATAGAAACGCTCGTGTAAAATTGCAGGCACTTCTAACTAACAGATACAATTCGTAGTTGGTATGTGGGTCAAGAAATGAAGAAAATGCATTGTGACATTCAATTTGACTTAATTGGTAACCTAATTAATTTTTTATGAGTTAATTAAAATGTGGACCAAATTAGTAGGCAGTTCTATCCACACGCATCATCACGGCCGTCTTGGGCATCGAGCGAGGGGGGGGGGGCGCTCTACAACAAAAGCGCGTCATAACGTTCAATAGGCGCGCGGTGGTTTTTAGTCGGGTCATCAATCTAGTTCTTCACCACTAGTCTAGGCCATACCAATCCCATAATACTTTATCCACACGCGTCATCACGACCCTCTTGGGAGCGGAGCGAGGAGGGCTCTACGATAAAACAGGGCAGAGAAAGGCAATAAAACGCGTCATCACGTTCATTAGGCGCGTAATCGTTTTTAGTCACGTAAATCTATTATAAATAAAACATGTTAGTACTGAAAAAAAAAATTCATAAAAAAACGTTTGAATAACAATCTTTTATGTAAAATACAATAAAAAGTAAAAATAAATAATTATACAGTACTATTAAAAAAACCATAAAGAAAAGCGTGGGTCTCTTCCTAAATAGATACTAAAGTGACCCACGCTTTTCTTCATTGTAATTTAAATAGTAGGCTCTAATATTTAGGAAGATACCCACGCATTTCTTCATAGTTATTTAAATAATAGTGTATAATTTATTTTCTACTTTTTAGTGCATTATTGCATAAAAGCTTGTTATTAAAACGTTTTTATGACTTTTTTTTCAGTTTACATAACTTTAGACGTGTGAAAATCACAAATCCAAATGACTTTTTATTATTTTTAAATCTTACACCACATTCAATGTTCATATTCTCAACGATTGTTTCCAGTGAAAACAAGCGAGTGATACTAAATTTACCAACTTACATGTCTGGATTAGTCTGGCAAACCTAACAGGTTTTAATTATATAACAAAATTATATGTTTGAATAAAAACAGTAAAAAAAAATTCCGGATTAAATAATCCTCAGATACTCATATTGAGTAATGTTTTGTATGTTTTCTGGTAATAATTAGATGTTTTGACCCTACTGTCTAGATATTTTCTGTATGTAATAATGTAGTTTTCGAACCAAAAACTCTAAATAATTAATGATTGAACAAACGAACTTTAAAAAAATATATTAATAAATACATACCATGAACTTCCATGCAAATGAAAGAATAATATCGATCACATTCTTGATCGTTTAGATGCGTGTAATAAATTTGAAGGCAGGATTCAATTCCGACCCCGTTGTTGGGTTCGCCAGTGCCCCACATTGATGTTAAATCAGCTTTTGTACCATCTGTCCACAACCATTCACGTTCTGGTAGTTGGTACTTAGCTCCAAGCCAAACTTATGGAAGAAAGAAATCTTCAAAATTATATCGCATATAACAATTTTGTCGGGGGCCTTTTGGTCAAGTTACTTTCTGTCGTTAGGTCGTTTTCCCTAGTCTATTTTGTCGAAGCTATCACCTGAGTACCTTAAACGACCAGTATCGGACCGATTACGGGACATACTGTTTAAATTATTGCATACCGTGTCCATCGAGGCTATAAACAGTATCTTTTGGTCTGAGAGAATTGAGAAAGTCCAACACAGATAGTGAAGTAACTTTGGCCAGGCTCCTGAGTCCATTAAATTTTGAGCAGTATTCCTTCAAAAATAATTAATAAAGGATAATTAAAATATATATATATTTTAAGCTTTAATTATCTATCGCTAGAAAGGTAACTGTACACTAAACCAATAAAATAATTGATTATTTAATTTTAATATAACATCGTCAAATGTATCGACTATAGCGACACATATTCTAAACATTATATATACCTTCGCGTCATCCCAGTTCAATTTTATTGTGAAAAGCTCATAGCAGTTGTTTTCAAACTCCTTAGCCGTTCTGCTGATACACGTTGCTTGAGTTTTTAAATAAAATATTTAAATTTTTTATTGTTATGCCATAAAAAGAAATATGTATTTTTGAAGGCTTTATTTTATTAAATTAAACAAACTGTTGTATATGTAGTGAATATTTTTTGTTTTATAGCTCTTTGTCGTCTGCTGACAAATGGTATCAATTTAAATTCAACACATTCCACTCTAAGTATTATTAAACATTGATAATTAAATATTTAAAATCAATATTTTTTTTTGCAAAGCAATGAATAACCTTAAAAAGTATGTTTAATGGCATTCGATTAGATTTTCCACAAAGGACAAGATGGTCCGGTGCAGAGACCAGACCATTCGATAATTCCCTAAATAATCAGGTAGCCTATGTAAGCCTTTACGTAAATAGGATTACATGCAAGCGACGAAAAAAATCTAGTTTAAAGTAACAAACAAGCAAATCAACACACAACGCCACTGCTTCTCATATGCAGCAGACAAAGCTATTGACTGTAAAGAAAAAAAACCGGGAGTGATCTCTCATAAACTTTCTCGAATATTCTTATATTAAACAAGAGGGGATTGGAACTCGGGATATAGACATGATTTTTAATCCATTTTAAATACTTAAACTTTTAAAAATAGAATAAAATCTCGTAGAAAAAAAAATAGTTCCACACAATTGCTTTTGAAAATTTGAAAGTAGAAAAAGTTCCTCTTTCAGTTATCGGAAATCGCTAAAAAGTTGATACGGATCTACGATTTTTATAAAATACCTATATATGAAATTACATCAACCTAGCTGTAACGGTACTCAAGTTATCGTGTTTACACACACACAGATACATTTACACACACAAAGAAATACGGACAATATTGCAAAACTATGTTTTTCCGACTCAGGGAGCCCTAAAGGTCGAGATTTGCAAAAATCTAGTTGTTTTTTTTGCCCGATTACAAGACTTTTTCTATACTTCGTATATACGACAAAGTAAAAATACAAGCGGCACGGCTATTTTTGTGTGTTTATTTAACACAAGAGAATGTTAGAAGGAAAAAAAGTTGGTTATGATATTTACCTTGTGTAAAGACAACGAGTTCCACAAACACCAAAATCATACATGTGTAAAACTTTATTGAGTTGATCCACAACATAATGACACAAATAAAGCCTGTTCAAATAAAGTTTTTTTTTTATATTTCAGTTGGATTAATATAGAAATTGTAAGAATAATATTTGAAAAAATTATAAAATAGATAAATGATAAAAATCTATTTTTACATTAATTATATTAATTAAAATCTTCAATAAATAAATCAATAGTCGAGTTTATCTTATATATAATTGAGAAATAAAAAAAAAATAATTTAATATATATTTTAGATGCAGTGGCGTAGGCAAATACCTAACATTCCACATTTTATACATATTATGTATATGTACACACACACACACACTTATATATATATATATATATATATATATATATATATATATATATATATATATATATATATATATATATATATATATATATATATATATACATACATATATATATATATGTTACGGTCAAAGCCCGAAGTGCGGCCAAACCCCGGATTGGCCGGCCAATGCGCGGATTGGCCGGCTCTCTTGGCCAAAGCCCGAAGAACTTAGAACTAAGATCGTATTTCGTACATTGGCCGGCCAATGCGCGCACTGGCCAGGACGTACTGGCCACAGTCCGAAGTACTTAAACTTGACAGCGTATTTTGTACATTGGCCAGCCAATGCGCGCATTGGCCGGGATGTCCTGGCCAATGTTGTATCTAGACTAAGTTGTGATCGCGTTTTAATTATTCTGGGTGCGGTTTCATTGTGAGTAACGTATTGTTTAGCTCTTGTTTGTATAGCATTCTATATGCAAGGCGACATGGATCAAAAGGGCCACCAGACCATGAGACAGACATAGCAAATGGCTGTCAAAAGAAAAAAATGCAAATATCGAACCAACGTTTGACATGAAAACTATGTTTTTAGATCATTTGACTACAGTACTGCATGAAAAACCAAACAATAGCTTTATTCTTAGCAAAGACAAATACATTGTTATTATAGAGGACGTTAAACAGGCTAAAGCAAAGCAGACAAAAAAAACTGTTGACTATCGTCGACTAAACAAATATGATGTTATTGAAGTTGAGGGTAAAGAAAAACTTATTGTACCACTAACAGAAGACAATGGTGCTATTTTGTACTATGTGCACTCAGAAGAGTTGTTCGACTTGATCAATGAAACTCACTTGAAAATCGGACATGGAGGTCGCACAAAGATGGAAAAAGAGCTCAAGAGAAAGTACAAAAATATCACCAAAGAAATCATCACTATGTATCTTCGGTTGTGCAAGCCTTGTCAGACTAAATTGTCTAATCCCAAGAAAGGTCTTGTTTCCAAACCTTTGATATTTAAAGAATTTAACTCAAGATGCCAAGTAGATCTTATTGATATGCAAAGTAACCCAGACGGCAAATACAAGTTTATACTCAGTTACCAGGATCATTTAACCAAGTTCATATTGTTGCGAGCTTTGGAAACCAAAAGAGCAGAAGAAGTTGCTTACCAGCTGCTGGATATCTTCACGACTATTGGTGCCCCAAGTGTGCTTCAATCAGATAATGGAAGAGAATTTGTGAATCAAGTTATTTCTGAACTAAAGAACATGTGGCCTGAACTTAAACTAGTTCACGGAAAACCAAGGCATAGCCAAAGCCAAGGTTCAGTCGAACGTGCCAACCAAGATGTTCTAAACATGATGATGAAATGAATGCAAACAAATGAATCAGCTCATTGGGCCGAGAGTCTCAAATTCATTCAATTTATGAAAAATCGTTCTTTTTATCAAGGAATCCAACAATCACCATACGAAGCCCTGTTTGGATGCAAAGCAAAAGTGGCACTTAGCACTTCAAATCTACCAAGAGAGGCTCTCAATAAAATAGTTACTGAGGAAAATCTTGAGAACATTGAACAAGAAATGGAGGTTGCCATAAATGCAACTACATCCTCAGCTAACACATCTACTGCCGTGGCGGAACGTCCAGACCAGTTGCGTGACAATAATGTGGCCAACAGATTCTGTATAGTTTGTGAAAAACATTGTAGTGCAGCTCAATCTTGTGGATCCTGTGGCAAAGATGTCCATGCTATTTGTGGAGTACCCAATGAAGCAGACGAAGGGTAAGGAGGGAACATTACCTGCAGATTGTGTCACAACAAACAAGACATCATGGAACACAGGTCAGCAGCTCATACTGGCTTGCAAAATCAAGGTGCTAAGATGCTTAAAACATCAAATACAAAATTTAAAGATGGTGAAGTGGGTGACAATGTACGCATCCGTGTTCCAGATGTTGACAGAGGTCGCGGTGATCCCCGAAGCGTGATTGCAGTTGTCATGAGCGTCGAGGGCGGTTTTTACAAATTAGGAACGGAACATGGTGTTCTAAAACAACTGTATGCTAGAAGTGAGTTTTCAATTCTTCACGAAAAACTGCTCTTATTGTCGTCAGTTGGCACTGAGGAAAAATCACTACGAACCATCGCATCTTCACAATCATTGACTGGGGGCCAAGGCTACACTCGCTGCAATTGCACAACCAAGTGCACAACAAATCGCTGCAAGTGTAAAAATAACAAGCTGCTATGTAATTCTAAATGCTATAAAAGTTCAACTTGTTGTAACAAATGATAATATTGATTGATTGAGACTATAGTACAATAAAAAATTTGAATGTTTCTGTCATTTACTTTAATTAATAATCAATAAAGACTTAATTTCATGATCCTACCGGCATAAAAAAAAAAATCTGCTCATGATCTTCTAATTAAGACTTTGGCCGGTCCACCATGGCCAGTCCGCGGACTGGCCGGGACTGGCCGGCCAAAGGCCGAAATCAAGAGCTATTTCAGACTTTGGCCGGTCCACAATGGCCAGTCTGCGGATTGGCCGGCCAAAGGCCGAAATGAAGCAAAGTTTCGGAATTTGACCGACCTATGGGAGGCGATATTGGCCAATGCGCGGATTGGCCGGCCAATCCTAGCATTGGCCGACTTCGGGCTTTGACCGTAACATATATATATATATATATATATATATATATATATATATATATATATATATATATATATATATATATATATATATATATATATATATATATATATATATATATATAGGTACCGCCTAATTTACAAATCATGATTTACTGAAAAGTAGAAAAAACAACAACTAAAATACGCCGCGGGTCGGCTCGTAGTAGAAAATAGTCTAAAGTGCACACAGTAATATGACGTCATTGTATCTCGAGTAAACAATGAATTAAAAAGCCAATTTTGTCTAATCTTAAAAATGGTTTCCTTGGAGATTTTCTTTCATGCAATTATTTGGGTAGGGGCTAAGCCCTTCCTCGAAAGAACGTTTAAGCCCCCCCCCTCCTCAAAAGAAATGACGTCATCGATACTCAATAATAAAAATACAGATATTACGGCCTAATTAATGTGTCTAATCTTTCAAGTGTTTTGCATGAAGAGTTTCTCTTCTGATAGGGACTAAAGCCCTTTACCCCCCACCTCCACCCCCACAGCACAACGTATTTCTCCCCCCCCCCTGGACGGTAGAATGTCTAATTCCCCCCCCCCCCCCCAAAAAAAAAGGCGTAATATAATTTACGAGGCGATCCGCGGCGTATCATATGCCGCTACTATTTAGTTGTTTTATTTTCTACTTTTCAGTAATTCATAATTTGTGAATTCGACAGTACCAATGCTGTCACTGAAAATATTTGCTTTAAAACACTATCAGTAGCTCAATAAGGACGCTAACACCCCCTCCCTTCCTTTCACCAACCCCAACTGCCCCCCACCCCCTAAAAGCAAACTCCTCTTAGTTACCTCTGCTAAGTTTAAATAGTTTCAAATTAAATTATCCGACCCTAATAGCCGTCACTAAACCCGGCTCTGCGATTGTAAACATTTAGCATGAACCACAGCTCACCAGACCATGTAGGTGTGGGGGTGGTAGGGAGCGCGCTTACAGCTTGGTGTTTTCTATGGTCTCCAAGAAGAGAATTATAGATATAGATATAGATATAGATATAGATATAGATATAGATATAGATATAGATATAGATATAGATATAGATATAGATATAGATATAGATATAGATATAGATATAGATATAGATATAGATATAGATATAGATATAGATATAGATATAGATATAGATATAGATATAGATATAGATATAGATATAGATATAGATATAGATATAGATATAGATATAGATATAGATATAGATATAGATATAGATATAGATATAGATATAGATATAGATATAGATATAGATATAGATATAGATATAGATATAGATATAGATATAGATATAGATATAGATATAGATATAGATATAGATATAGATATAGATATAGATATAGATATAGATATAGATATAGATATAGATATAGATATAGATATAGATATAGATATAGATATAGATATAGATATAGATATAGATATAGATATAGATATAGATATAGATATAGATATAGATATAGATATAGATATAGATATAGATATAGATATAGATATAGATATAGATATAGATATAGATATAGATATAGATATAGATATAGATATAGATATAGATATAGATATAGATATAGATATAGATATAGATATAGATATAGATATAGATATAGATATAGATATAGATATAGATATAGATATAGATATAGATATAGATATAGATATAGATATAGATATAGATATAGATATAGATATAGATATAGATATAGATATAGATATAGATATAGATATAGATATAGATATAGATATAGATATAGATATAGATATAGATATAGATATAGATATAGATATAGATATAGATATAGATATAGATATAGATATAGATATAGATATAGATATAGATATAGATATAGATATAGATATAGATATAGATATAGATATAGATATAGATATAGATATAGATATAGATATAGATATAGATATAGATATAGATATAGATATAGATATAGATATAGATATAGATATAGATATAGATATAGATATAGATATAGATATAGATATAGATATAGATATAGATATAGATATAGATATAGATATAGATATAGATATAGATATAGATATAGATATAGATATAGATATAGATATAGATATAGATATAGATATAGATATAGATATAGATATAGATATAGATATAGATATAGATATAGATATAGATATAGATATAGATATAGATATAGATATAGATATAGATATAGATATAGATATAGATATAGATATAGATATAGATATAGATATAGATATAGATATAGATATAGATATAGATATAGATATAGATATAGATATAGATATAGATATAGATATAGATATAGATATAGATATAGATATAGATATAGATATAGATATAGATATAGATATAGATATAGATATAGATATAGATATAGATATAGATATAGATATAGATATAGATATAGATATAGATATAGATTTCAAAGTTATTCCTCTCCGGAGGGAGGGGGGTACTTGAAATTTTCGGGGATGAGTTTGGACTAAATGTTTTTGGAAGGGTGCTGACATTAGTAAACATATTTTTTCTATAAAAACATATTTCGGTGAATGGGACGGTAGATGTGCCTTAGAGAGTTTCGCTGTCGGTCTATCTATCTGTGTATCTATCTATCTGTCAAGAACGCTATAGAGAAAACACAAGCAGAGTAAAAACAGCATAGTAATTCAAAAAAACGAAACGTGACGTCACGTGAAGCATATAGTAGAAAATAGTCTCAAGCCGGATAGTGCACACAGTAATATGACGTCTTTGATTCTCTAGTAAACATTGTATTAAAAAGCCAATTGTGTCTACTCTTTAAAGTGGTTTGCTTGCAGAGTTCTTTCGGTTAGGGGAGAAACCCCAGCACCCCCCCCCCCAAAGAACGTTTAAGCTGCTCCCCGCTCAAAAGAAATGACGTCATCGATACTCTATAATAAAAACACAGACATAACGGCCTAATTAATGTGTCTAATCTTTAAAGTGTTTTGAGTAAAATGTATAGGTCGAAAGTAGGAAACAGGTCTATATTATAGAAGTAGGATTTAGTTTGTATGAGCTACAAATGCGACCAGTGTTTCTTTCAGAGTTATTCCTCCCCAGAATGGGGGTTAGGGTGGACTAATTTTTTGGAAGGGGGCGGACACAGGGAAAGATATGTTTTCTATATAAATTAGATTTCATTGAATGGGTCGGTAAACGTGCTTTAGACTGTGTGTGGGGGGAGAGGGTGCTCGGGGCAGAGCCCCCCTCCCCTAAATGCGACTTTATTCGTTTTTGAGATTAGGTGCAAGGTTTAGGGATTTTACTTCTAATGTGTTTAGTATCAATGTGCACTAACCACGTGTAGATCAAGCTTAAATCCAGTTAAAATGCATATTCTGGATAAAAATCCTTTATCAGGGACATTTTTGTTTCCGGTTAAATTTAAAGTTGAAGTGGTGATTTTCTTTTTGATTTCGATTTAATGAAAAAATACAATACTATCAACCTAGCGCCCGTTGTATATCTCCCTCAACGGGCCATTTATCTCGTCTATAATAATAGTTTTGCTGTCTGTGTATCTATCTTTCTATGTAGGCCTGTCTGTCAAGAACGCTATAAAGAAAACACAAGCAGTGTAAAAACAAGCATAGTAATTCGAAAACGAAACGTGACGTCACATTGAGTATATAGTAGGAAATTGTGCGCAGAATAGTATGACGTCATTGATTCTCGAGTAAACATTGAATTTAAAAGCCAATGTTGTCTAATCTTAAAAGTGGTTTGCGTGAAGAGTTTCTTTCATACGATTCTTCGGGTAGGGGCAAAGCCCCACCCCCGCGTA